ATCGTCAAAAGGTCGACGAGCTGGCCGAGTTCGGCCGAGACCTAGTACCTACGATGGAGAAGCGGTGCAAGCGCTTCAGGGAGGGATTACGCCCTGACCTATCCTCTGGACTGGTCTCTGCACCTAGGCACGACATCAACGACCTGTACAAGCAGGCATTGGAACTACAAGCGGCTCTACTCAGGAAGGCCGAGTACGAGCACGCCTAGACGACGCATCTTTGTCCACCTCCACCACCTAGGCCCAGTTCGAGCAGCAAGAGGTCTCCCTCCATGCCTAGCAGCTCGCCCATGAGCAAGAAGACCAAGTCAGCACCTGCCTCGTCACCAGCACCCACACAGGAGAGTGGGAAGAACCCGAGCCAGAGCGGGTACCGATACCCGATCTGCACGCTCTGCGGTCGGAGGCACCCCGGTGAGTGTTGGTTTACTCAAGGCCTATGCCTTGGGTGCGGACAGGCCGGCCACTTCCGTAGGGACTGCCCGACGAACCCTGGCGAGGCATTTACACCCGTAGCTTCAACTCCAGCCGCCAAGCCCGCCTAGAGCCAGAGGTCGGTAGCAGCGTCCAACCAGCCCAAAAGGCCGACGTCAAGCGCACAGTCTGGGGAGGCTCCAGCCCATACTTCTGCCATGCACGGACACACTGAGCAGTTTGCTCATGACATGACCATGGGTAGGTTCACATTATTTGATACTTCTATATCTGCTTGAGTTAATCTACCTTGACGTATTTGTGTAAACCTAAGCCGTTTTGTCAATATTCCGAGAGAGAAATCGAAGAATCCATGCGCACGCGTTACCCACATCTCTTAGGTGACCAATGGCTAGGTAAATTTTGAGGACGAAATTTTTTTAAGGGGTGGATAATTGTAACGCCCTGAGACCCGGTCTATTAGAATTGATTAATTTAATTAATTAATTACTAACACTGACCGGGATTTTGAAAATAAAATCCTTAGAAAAATTATTTGATCACTCCAAAATGTTCATCTTGACTGTTTGATTCCGGAAACGCAATCAAATTTCAATTCGGACCTGTTCGGGGGGAAAACCCCGTAACGTTCGGGTTAGATTTTACACAACGAAGTAGAATTTAGGGAGATAACTCCCACTTCAAAACCCACGCCACACACACCCTTCATTTTCCCTACTTTAATACTCCATCATTTTCCATTTAATTACCCCATTAATCCTCATCATTATTCACTAAATATAATAACCCCTTCTCCCTTCACTTCCCCATCACATTTTGTAACCCCCACTCACACACTCAACTCCCTTCTCCCTTCTCTTGTTCGGCCAAGCAGCAACAGCCCAGGGATACGGTTCCGGCGAGTAGACGAGGAGGAAGGAGAGAAGGAGGTGTCCACGAGAAACCATTCATCGTTTGTCGTTCGTCGTTGCCATCCGTTCGTTCATCTCGTTTTCCGTTCATCAACCCCTTCGTTTAGAGGTGAGTACGGTGCCCTCTAACTTTAGAATTCGTAGTCCAATCATATCGTTATATTCATAGGACTACCCGGCTAAACATACGTGTGTCCACGTTATCATGACTCTTCGTTATTGGACCTCCCGATTATGTACTCATTAATATAAACGTTTTGAAACCTTGTAAGTTCATCGAATATTTAACAGGGAAATGTAAACATTCATTTCTAAAACTTCCAACGTTTTGATGACAAACAAACACATAAAATGGGAATCAGCGTGCCTTGATAATCGAGTTACAGGACAGTACAATTGACTATCAGGCCACGCTGGACTCCTTAGTTGATTCAGCACAGCGTGATAATCGATTATCACATATGTGATAATCGACTATCAGGCCCTGCGGATTCTTGGGTCTGAGTTGGCTTCACTGATAATCGATTATCACATAAGCAATAATCGATTATCAAGCCTCTCTGAACTTAGGATTTCCAGGACAAACCGACTTGACAATCGATTTTCATGAGGTGACAATCGACTATCACAGTTCGTAGAACCTTGGGAACAGAAGCTGCACAGCATGATAATCGATTATCAACAACGGATAATCGATTATCAGCAAGTTCTGAACCCAGGGCCATCATGTTGAACAAATTCTTTTCATACGGAATCAAACATATATGTATACGTTGAACTTAACTTCATTCTTCAATCAATGTATTCATTTCATCATGTACATCCTAGACGCATGTTTTAGGATAATGGCATACTTGCATACCGCGGCAAGAGGTCAGGCCTAGTGCGCCTCTTTCGTGGGCCCGTCCAGGAACCTTCGGGATCCAACAGGTTTCACATACCGCGACAAGAGGTCAGGCCTAGTGCGCCTCTTTCGCGGGCCCGTCCAGGAACCTTCGGGATCCAACGGGTCTCATCAGGAGGGCTTGTGTACGTACATGGTAACTAGGCATTCGGTTACCACCCACGTTTCTAGGCTCCTCCCGGAGACTAAGGCGTTCCTCGGCTCATCTACCGCGTGGGGATGAGCACTAAAGGGCAGGGGTGTCCCTGCGCAGTCTAACTCATGCATCATGAACTATTTGGCATTGCATTATTCTTTATTTTACAACGTTTATCATTATTCATCTTTGTTTATCAAACTTGTATGTGGTATCTCGTACTTTAGTACAGGTACATTTATGTTTATATCAATGTGAATGTACTATGCGTTCTACTGTTAGATTACCACTCAGCTTTTGCTGAGCGTATAGCGTTGTTTTCCTTTGCTATACGCAGGTAGGCAAGATGATCATGGAGCCTGACCCGGATGATTCGGAGATCGGGGCGGCGGACAGGCGACAGTGTGGACCCGATTTATTCTCAAATTCATAATATAACTGTTTTTGGCTTGAACCCACACTTGTTGCACTTTCTTATTTAAGACTTAACATTTATTTCCTTTTATTGCTTCCGCAACGAAACATCAATTTAAGGCAATTAAATTCCCAACGGTTTTATCTACTTAAAATATATCAAAGGTTTACAATTACAAGGGCAACACAAGGGTTTTTCTGTGTTGAAACACGGGCATGTCACGTTTTCGTACTAAAGCCGTGTTCGTTTTTTTTTGTAACAGGTTTTGATAATGCCAAACCGCCGTGATCAAGACAAACATTGAATATACAAGGCGAAGAACGAAGAAAAAGAACAAGAACTAAAAGAGACCAAGAACGAAGACCGCAGTCTTTAGTATTGTTGAGTCGGTCATAATTGTAATCAAGACCGACCCAACCCTCACGCATTGGCTCTTTAGGCTAAAACCTTTCACTGCATTTCTTACATCATAAAAATGTTTTTCAAACTTGTTTAAGTCATTAAAAACACTTGGTGTTCGCCCAAACCAAAAACCAAGCCATCCAGCGTTCGGGTTTCAGAAACCGGCGTTCGGCTATGGTTTTTGGCGTCCGGACCAACCGAGTGGCTTTCAACTTTTTATGATTGGTTTTCACTCTTTGGCATGATTAAACGGTTCTCCAACAAAAACACTTTGAAAACCATCTTTCGCTTTTGGTCGTTTGACAAAAATCATTCAAAACGGCATGAACTTGGCTAGCCGTGGTTTTTCACTCAAATGACGTGGTTTTTAAAGTGTCTTACTTAATTTCTTAGCCAAATACATCAAATAAGTGTTTTAAACACTTGGTTTTTATTTTGGAAAACTTTGGATTTTTCGGTTGGTTTTTGCATCGGTTGGCTAGGCCGTGGTTAAGGCAAAAACCATGGGTTCTTGACTAACCACCCACCCAGCGATGGGAAGATCTTCCCATCGATGGGTAAGCGGTCCCTTAGCCAAACCAATTTCCAGAACCATGCCAAACAGCGATGGGAAGTTCTACCCATCGCTGTTCAAGCCTTGGTGCAAAATTATCACAAGGCAGAACGACCTTGCCCAGCGATGGGAAACCTATCCCATCGATGGGAACCCAGCGATGGTAAGGATATACCATCGATGGGAAGGGATGACCGTTGTAGGTCANAACTTTGGATTTTTCGGTCGGTTTTTGCATCGGTTGGCTAGGCCGTGGTTAAGGCAAAAACCATGGGTTCTTGACTAACCACCCACCCAGCGATGGGAAGATCTTCCCATCGATGGGTAAGCGGTCCCTTAGCCAAACCAATTTCCAGAACCATGCCAAACAGCGATGGGAAGTTCTACCCATCGCTGTTCAAGCCTTGGTGCAAAATTATCACAAGGCAGAACGACCTTGCCCAGCGATGGGAAACCTATCCCATCGATGGGAACCCAACGATGGTAAGGATATACCATCGATGGGAAGGGATGATCGTTGTAGGTCATTTAAGGTTGATTCTTTCCTTGTTTGGAAGTCAACCTCCCACCCAGCGATGGGAAGCTTGTACCCATCGATGGGTAGGTAACCGTTGGCTTCAAAACTAAAGAAAAATTGGCTTACCAGCGATGGGTAGGTTCCAAACATCGATGGGAAGCCAATATTCTGCAGATCCCAAATCTTTTCAATCCCATAAATCAAGCCAATCACCCCTTTAATGTATTGGTCCGTTGGAGCCTATTTTGGCACTATAAAAAGGGGTGTTTGGGTCTGCTTTACACATCAATTCACTTCACAACATTCATACTTTCATTGAATTCAAATATCATCACTTTCCATAGCTTCCTAGAGCCATTTTGTGTGAAGGTTGAGTTGTTCTTGAGCATACTTAGTTTACTCATAATCTACTCTATAAGAGAGTCTCGTTCTTGAGTGTATTCGTGTTCTTAGACACTTTGAGAGAAAGTATTTCTCTCGGTAGATTCAAAGGAAGGGTTGTTTCCTTTGAAGGACTCGTTGAGGTTCGTGTAACTCGAACTCTCAAGTTGTAACGGTTTGTTAAGCACCCGCAATCTTAACGAGATAGTAGTGTAGCTCGAGAGAGTCTCTCGGGAGGCTGGATTAGCCACAAGTTGTGGTGAACCAGGGTAAAATTCGGTGTGCCTCTTACTCTTCTCTTTACATATCTTTTGATTTTTTAATTCCTGCGATTTCTACGATCAAACGCTATTTACCCCCCTCTAGCGTTGGTCTATTATTCTAACAATTGGTATCAGAGCCTAACTCGCGTCCAAACTTAACCGTTTGAGAGTAAAGCGATCATGGGTTCTTCTTCTAGAAATCTTTATGCAGGAATTGGAGAAGGTCAATCAACCTCTAGGCCACCACTTTTTGATGGCACCAACTACACATACTGGAAAGAACGGATGAGAATTTATATCCGCTCAACCAACTTTCAGTTGTGGTTGGTCATCAAGAATGGCGAGGAAATTCCAACGAAGAAGGTCGGTGAAAAACTCGTCCCAAAGACCGAGGACGAATTTGATGCCGAGGATATCAAAAAGGTGGAGAACTACGCCAAGGCAATCAACATGCTGTACTGTGCAGTCAATCCTGATGATTATCGCAAGATCTCTTGCTGCACCACTGCAAAAGAAATGTGGGACAAGCTGGAGGTCACATATGAAGGTACGGACCAAGTTCGGGAAGCCAAAATTGACTTCCTAACGCAGGAGTACGAGATGTTCAGGATGAAGGAAGGCGAAAAGATCGATGATATGTTCGATCGGTTTTCAAAGATCATCAACGACCTTCATGCACTCAAGAAGACTTACGCTAACAAGGATCTTGTGAGGAAAATCCTGAGGAGTCTCACTCCCGAATGGAGATCGAAGGCTGACGCAATCTACGAATCCATCGGAGTTTCCAACGTCACCATCGACGGGTTAAGAGGTAA